AAACTCTTCTTTATCTGGTGATTCTTTCTCACAAAGCTCCTCTTTATTCAGTGTTCTCTGCTCACAAAGCACCTTTTGATCCTCTGTTCCACTCTCACAAAGCTCCTCTTTATTCGGTGTACCACTCTCAAAAGTCTCCTCTTTATTTGGTATTCCACTCTTACAAGTCTTAAAATTATATAAATCATGAACAATTATATTTGTACATATACCTAAATGTAATTTCTAGTCAAACTCAACTTTCTACTAACAAACATACATCACAGCCTACATTGCCCATAGACAGCGTGTAACAATTATACCACTTATATCTAACATATTGTTTTACCATCAGGATTGAAGAGGAGAGTGAAAGGTAGCAGAGTAGCATTTCAAAGTCCAGACGCCGGTCTTCATTTTGAGATGCCAATCTTTGGTAGATCACCAGGTCCAAGTCCAACACCAACTCCACCAAGTACTCCAAGTGACTTTTCACTCTCAGAGGTATTCAGATATTCAGTATGCCATTGCTTGATTGGCTGATGATGATGATTGTTTATTCACAGATATCTCATATTGACTATGGAAAACTATTTAAGAATATATGTCGTGTATATATATATGTATTGTGAGCTCTCATGTTATTCCATCTTTAACTGTTATATATAAACACAGTTGACAAATTGTGAAAACAAATAAATAATCTATTTTATTAGTGGATGTAATTTAACAAAATGATTGTTTTTTTATTACAGAGAGAGTCTGAGTCAGAAGAGTATGATGATGAAAAAGAAAAAGACGAGAATGACGTTGAAAAAGAATCAATAAGTGAAACTGTCTTCAAACCAATCGATGTTGTAACACGTGAGTTAACTATTGACACGCTGTCTTAAAAGACATGTTCAAAACAGAAAATACAGTCATAAACATATAATTGTGTCTGAATACTGGCAATGTATACATGTACATGTGTATGTGTCTGAAATCTTGAAGATGTGATAAACCCTTAAATGAAATATTAATTGTTATTGTTAATTAATTGCTCATGTTGTTTGTTCAGAAACCACACCTGCAAAAACTGTGAAAACACCAGAAGCAAAAGTACCAAAAAAGGAGAAGAAAGAAGAATCCAGGTTTGCCTTGTCTAAATACAAAGTGGATATTAAGGGTTTGATGAAAGCAGATGCTAAAAAAGCATCTACAAAGTCTTCTACAAAACCATCCAGCTCTTCGCAGGTTAACGATAAGAAGGTACA